GCGTCACCATGCCACGTGTTGGTATTCAGAAAATATGTCCCCACACAACATATTTCAAAAGTCTAGTTGGAAGCCTAAGATATCTCACAGCCATGCTACCTGATATATTGTTCGCAGTAGGCTTAGTTAGTCGATATATGAAGGAACCCAAGACATCACATCTGAAAGTAGCCAAAAGAATCCTACGGTATGTAAAAGATACAATAGAGTACGGATTGTTTTACTCATCTACAAATGAATCTAAATTAGTAGGATACAGCAATAGTGACTGGGCAAGCAATATGGATGATTGTAAAGGTACAACCGGGTTTGTGTTTTATCTCAGAGATACTGCTTTTATGTGGTCCTCAAAGAAACAACCGATAGTAATTCTATCGACATGTGAAGCAGAGTATGTAACTATTGCTGTAGGAGCATTCATGCTACCTGGTTAAGAAATTTGCTAAAAGAACTTTAAGAACCACAACAAGAAGCCACAGAGATATACGTGGATAATAAGTCAGCAATCCAATTAGGAAAGAATCCAGTCTTGCATGATAGAAGCAAGCATTTCAACACAAGATTTCATTTCATACGAGAATGCATATGAAAAGAAGAGATCCAGTTGATACACACGAAAAGTGAAGATCAAGTTGCAGACATATTTATAAAGCCCCTCAAAACAACAACATTTGTGAAGCTACGAAAAATGTTCTGAGTTACCTTATTTGGTGATTCAAGTTTAAGGGGGGATGTTGGAGAATAAACTTGAACCTTCCACCCCTCTCCAAAAACTGCCTGAAGATGGAAGAAAAGAATGAAGAAAGTAGCCATAAAGCTTCCTTGAAGCTCACCAAGTCAGAAACTTAGAAGGTAAGAAACTGAATTCAAACCACAGCTGTGAATTCAATACACGTTTGATACACTGATTAGAAACCTATAAATAGATGGTTAGGTTGTTGTTATAGAAATCTATCGCACAATTAAAAAATCCGTAAGGGGTTTGAGAGATAGAGAGGTGGGAGACAAAAGCCACAGATTGTGATTGTTCCACAGATTGTAATTGTTCTTTTGTTTGAAAATAAATTCATTCAATTGTTTGTGTGTGAGACATCATAAATTCATACAAAATATATAGAAGCCCACCATCAAAGTTGGAAGTGTGAGAGGGTTAAAGAGAGGTTGGGGGTGTGGCTGGGGTTGAGGAGGAATGTGAAGGGTAAGGAAGGGCTAGGAAGTGGCTGGAGGTTGTTATAGGTGGTGGCTAGGCGGGTCAGGATTAGGATTTAGGGTTTGAAAGATTATAAATGTGCTATGATTGAAAATTTATGATACAATAAAATAATAAAAAATTACGAATAAATGGAAGTTCAAAGAAGAAAGGTGATTACTATTAGCAGTACCATTTTTATCATATTTTGTTTATTATTTCATTTGTCAATATTGCTTTGGTAACAAATATAAGTGGTAAGATCTATTAAACTAATACCTTTTTGACGTATGAGATGATTGCTCACCAAAAGCAAATGAAATCAACAATTGATGTGGCAAGAGGTTTAAGTAGTATTTGCTTCATTAGAATAAAAATAGAATGGATTGATCATTCTATTAGAATATCTATTCTCATATCTGTTTCACTAAAAAAAATACATTATAAATAGAATCATTATTTATCATTATAAGGAAACAGTCGTAACAGGTTGTCGCACCATTTCAGGGATATAAAATCACCTAGAGCACTTCATCTTCTGTATTTGAGGGTTTCTTATTGTCTACTTCTTTCTTGTAAGAAATGGAGAATGTAAGAAATGGGAAACATATTCTGCGAATGCATTTCTGTTCTTTTTTTAACATAAATTTTTTCATTCCATTAAAGGGAGATAGTATTATGGTTGTGAACCAGCCGAGTCAAACCAAGTAATAACTTGTTCAAGTTTGACTTGAAAACTTAACAAATTCAAAATGTATTTAAATTTTGTTTGTTTACATAATAAACCGATCTTGAACAAGTTTCTAACAAGCTACACATAAGTCGAGCTCGAGTAATTTGAATTTTTATAGTGTATATAAGTTTGAACCATGTAATAAGTTATTTAAACTTGGTTTGAAAACTTAACAAATTAAAATTGTATTCAAGCTTTAACTTGTTTAGGTAACAAATAGATCTTAAACGATTTTTTAACAAGTTAAATACAAGTCTAACTTAAGTAACTTTGTTCGTTTAATAACCAATCAAACAACCCATAATTTTAAACTCACAACTTTTGGGTGCCATGTAACCATCACATTACATATAATATGTTTAGTATCTTTTTCATTTGCCTTTGGGTGCCATGTAACCATCACATTAGATATAATATGTTTAGTATTTTTTTCATTTGCGCAAATTATGACGGTAATTTTTGTATTTTGGTTCTTATGTCATTTTGATTCCTCTAATTTCAATTAGCTTAATTTAGACCCTAAATTTATGATTTTGTCTCAATTTGATTCAATTGCTTCGGAGCCTCCATCGGAGAGATATCTCAGGCCTTCGGATGAGGGGTACTTGTCCCATCTTATTGCACCTATTCTTTGCAGATGATGCTATTCTTTTTCTTCAGGGCGAGCAAAGGGAATGCCAAGCTTTACTAGCCATTCTGCGAATCTACAGTGAGGCATCGGGACAAGTCTTGAATTTTGATAAATCTAGTATCATCTTCTCGGCAAATGCTAGCATAGAGGTGAGGGGGGCTATTTGTTTGACTTTAGGGATCTCTGAGGCAGACCCGAATGCAAAATATTTTTGTCTGCCTTCTCTTTGGGGCAGATCCAAGGCTGATGTGTTTGGGTTTTTGATTGAGAAGGTGCTATCCAAATTGCAAGGATGGAAGAGAAAGTTTCTTTCCCCTGCCGGGTGTGAAACTTTGATTAAGGCAGTGGCACAGGCCATCCCTTCTTATGTCATGGCTTGTTTTTTTTTCCCTCAACGTTTCTGTAATAAGCTGAATGCCTACATTCGAAACTTTTGGTGGAAAGAAGACCCGGAGAGTAAAGGCATTCACTGGGCTCGTTGGGACTCCCTAACAACTTCCAAAGCTGATGAAGGTATAGGTTTTCGAGACTTTAAGGCTTTCAATCAAGCTATGTTGGCCCGCCAAGGATGGCGACTGCTTCAGAACCTTTCTTCCTATTGGGCCAGAATTTTCAAAGGTTTATATTTTCCTCAATCAAATTTCTTGACAACCACTAGAGGCACTCGGCCATCATGGGCATGGACAAGCTTGTTAAAAGGCAGAGACTTACTTCAGAGAGGCACCAGATGGCAAATTCACAATGGGCAATCTGTCAACTTTTGGGAGGATAAGTGGATTCTGTCGGCTCCTTGCTTCCAGATATCAACAATCAAACCCATCCATACACCCATCAATGTTGTGGCAAATGCTATTGATCCAAATTGTAAGTGTTGGAAGATGGAGGTTCTACAATAGGTTGTTACCCCGGATGAAATACAAGCTATTTCTCATCCCTATTTCCATGGAAAACAAAAAGGACGTGGTGATGTGGTATCCATCCAAATCTGGTATTTTTTCAGTCAAATCGGGGTATGTTATGGCTCGTGCTTTACAGGACCCACAACAACAAAATCATCCTTCAACTTCCTTCCAACTCCCACACAATTTCTGGAAACAGATTTGGCATCTTGATGTACCTCCCAAGCTTAAACATTTTTGGTGGAAAGCTTGCGACAATTTTTTAGCTACCAAGGCCAACCTCCTCAAGCGCAAATGCTCTGCATCTGGGATGTGCCCAATCTGTCATTCAGATTTAGAAACAGTGAAACATTTGTTTTTTTACCGTCCTTGGACCCAAACGGTGTGGTTTGGAAATCAACTAAGCTTGCGCATTGGTAAGTGGTACAGTAAGCAACCTAATAGTTTGGCTGAGTCAACAGTTGGAATTATTTGCTTCCCCACCTAGTTGGCGCCTTTTTTTAAGTCAGTTCATCATGATTGCTTGGCAAATCTAGAAAACCCGAAATGCATTTGTCTTTACTCACACTCTAGTTAATCCAGTGGCAGCCATAGCTCGTGCGGCCCATGCTTGGCAGGAACATGTCCAGTTTCAGTAGAGGACTGTTCCTGAGCAAAATGGCTCTCCTTCTCAACAGATCAGGCCTAATAGTTGGCAACCTCCCCCACCTTGCTCTTTGAAAGCAAACTGTGATGTGGCCTTTTGCAAACAGTCCAACCAAGCTTCCTTAGCCGTCGTCTTCCGTGACTTAACAGGGCAAATTATTGATGGACACTTTCAATTCCCATACTGCCTCACCCTTCCAAGCTGAAGCCCAAGCGATTCGACTGGCTTGCCTCATGGCCAAACAACAAAAATGGAGGAATGTCGTCATCGAGAGTGACAATTTACTAGCTATCAAGCTCTATGTTTCTGAAAATGTGCCCCCTTGGGACAGCATGGCAATCTTCTCTGACATTCGATGTATATCCCAGGCTTGGCCCTTATTTTTTTGCTAGACCAAGCGCAACTCTAACAAAGTGGCACACTGGGTTGCCCATGCAAGTGCAATGTCACAATTACCTGTAAATTGGGTTGCTTTACACCCCCAGGAATTGAGTTGTTTGGCTCACCTAGATGTCTCTTCTTTTACTAATTAATATATAGTCCTTTTCTGCTAAAAAAAAAGTAGCATGTCATATTTTAAAGAGCAAAATTATAAATTTACTCAGCTTAATTTAGTGATAATTTTTTTTTATCAAAAATACTAATGACATTATCAATTGGATCAAATTGACACAAAATTTAAAATTAAGAGTCAAAATTGAGCTAATTAAAACTGTGAGGACTAAAATGACACAAGAAACAAATTATAAGGACTACCAATGTAAATTATCCTTTTCATTTTTGCAATTTTTGTCTTGGAAAACAAAAATATATTTCGAAATATGTTCAAAAATGGTTTTGAATAAAAAAAAATTATTTAAAAACTATCCACTTTTTACAAAACACAAAAAATTGCTTCAAATTTTCGAAAATTGTTATTATTATTATTGTTTTTTTGTCAATACAACCATATATGTGCCTATACATGTAAAAAGATAAATAAACTACTTCAAAAATATTATTATTATTATTAAAACTTATAAAAAGAACAAACCACATATTATTACGCGGGTTCAGTGAGACTTTGCTGTGACCACATAGTGTCCCAAAATCCAAGGACTCTCCTAAACTCGGAGAAAATGATTAGTTAGTCCAGGGACAGCCCCACCTCGTGCACCTACATCATTCCCATTGGCTAGCCCCCCTGCTGATGGCGTGTTTGGACAATGCCATCAATTTGTCAAACCACCAGCCAATCACAATGTTGTGGAACACCAGATGACCTTGGTCTTGATCCACCCAATAAGTTCTCCCTAAACTTCCAACATTTGTCCCCAACGGTCACACACTTCAAATAAACATACCCCCTCTAAACTCGGCTCTCTCTCTCTCTCTCTCTTCAATCTCTTCTTTTTACTTAGTCTTCTAATTCCCCCATCACTCCCCCAGCAAAATCCGCACATATCAGACCTGTTCACACATCAATGCTGCCCATATGGCCTTAACAACAATACTCTCTTCCCTCTCCTCACCTCTCTCTCTCTACCCACACTTCTCTCTCATCATCTTCATTACTGTCATCTTCCTTTCATTCTCAATATTCCCATTCTTGAATACACAATTGGGTAGTTTTAGAATGACCCTGAAGGGCGGCACGAGCCAAGCTTGCGCTGCGTGTAAGTACCAGAGGAGGAAGTGCTCCGGCGAGTGTCCACTTGCCCCGTACTTCCCTCCTGACCAACCTAAGATGTTCCAAAATGCACACCGACTGTTTGGCGTAAGCAATATCTTGAAAATACTAAAACAACTTGACCCGGCTCAGAAAATAGAAGCCATGAGGTCTATCATCTACCAAGCGAACATCCGTGATAGGTTCCCTGTCCATGGATGCTGTGGTGTGATTGGTCAACTCCAATACCAGATACGCCTAGCGGAGGAGGAATTCCATGCTGTTCAAGCGCAACTTGCACTTTATCGACAGAATGAGATTCAACAACACGAGATTTCGTGCAATCCCAATGATTGTTCGTCGCAGTTACAACTGGGAATGGGCCTGCCGCCAAGTAACAATGCCCTTTCCCTCTTCCATCAGGATGCTCCCCAACCTGTTGCAATGCCCATTTCATCATATCAATCCTACCCTAACTGCAATAATGTTATTTACAACTCGGGTTTCGTTGATAAAGAACATGTAGTCAATTCGTTCTGGGTTCAACATCAATATAGTAATGACAATAATAACAACAACAATAACAATAATTCAATGGCAATGGCAATGCAATCTCAGTTGATGTCATCACAAGAACTAACTATCCAACAAGAACTTGCTCAAGAATATGATGAGATGCACCCGTTCTTTGACACAATTGATGACAGACAATCATACATCGATTCAAAAGAGGCTTATGATTCGAGGTACTTTCACAATTGCAATGTGATTATATATTAAATGCAGTTTAGAGTTACACCAAGAAAGATTGATGATGATAAGAAATACCCATTTGGCTAGTTCTATTATCATTTGTTATTGATTTCTGATTTGGTGATGTAAATTCATGTGCAGCTCGGATTCATCATTGAAAGATACGACACAGTCTATTGAACATGTCACTGACAATGAGTTAAAGAGTGCCGCAGCATGCTTCAGTCTTACCAGTGTCAACTGATCAAATCGCCAGAAGATAAAAGTAAGGAGAGTAGAAACACGGAGTATAGTTCAACCCTCTTCCTCAACAATCACAAATGAAGTTCAACCATCTTCATCAACATCAATTGTTGCTCCTTCTATTCCTTCTCTCACCCAACCAATTTTTTGGCATACCGATTCATAGAGTAATCCACAATTTTGAGTTTCTTTTCTGTTTTAATCTATTAAGTTCTTTGTTTCTTTGATAAGTTAAAATTTCAATATTGATTCAATTGTAGATCATTTTCTTGTTTTGAACACCATCAATATACAAATAAAAAAATTTGATTCTACTCCTGCAGTTTAATATGTGTGAAGTATGTTGAACATTCTATTATGCGAACTTGGAATCATTGTAACTTTCTTGAGTGGAAATTAAGAAGTATGCACTCTTTACCTATAAAAATTCAGGTCTAATAGCCGTTACAGTCTATAACCCAAAATTTAATTATTTTACTTCTTGTCCAGATCGTCTTCATCTAGTTTCGCATACAAGTCCCATAAAGGGTACTAACTCCTATGGTACGATAAGGGTGGAGGTAACCTGGCATCAATTTTGAGAATTTAGAATAAAAGAATTTACGGAATCTCAGCCCAAATAGGCTCAAGGCTCCAGCAACACATTCAAAGACTGAGGATTACATGTTATCTAAATTGTTCACCGTGAATTCCATACTTTCAAAATTATTTCTGTTTCGACATTTATAAGTTTTACTATTACAATTATTGTAAAACTCAAACAATATGTGTCTCTGAAAAATGAACACTTCTTATTTGGAGTACATAGCAAAGAGGGTCAGAGTACTACTCTATCTATATCTGCTTCACCAATCCTGAAAGAACGATTTTCTGGAAGTTCCTCTGTTTCAACCACATATGGAAAATAGGTTTCGAAGATTATGTCCCACAACCACAAATAAAGGTTGGCACACCTGTTTATTCCAAATAAACATCAAACTCCAGATTTGACAACGGTTTAAGAATATTTTGTAAATTAAGAAAATAAATAATGTATCATTATTGGAAAGCAAAAATATAAAGATTAGATTGAAGTAATCAACCTTAAATCATGTAATTATTAATGCATTTCATTTAAAAGTTCAGTTTATAACTTTGATAGGGTTTGTGTGGAGATCTAAGTTAAATGGAGCTTATCATGTGTGCTGTGTTCAGTCCATCAAGAATTTGTTCAGACTTTAGAGCAAAAGGAAAATTTTATTGCCTTGAATTACCAACTTGGCTGATAAGGGATATGATTGAAGGAAAGTTGGTCAGTATAAGGTGATGACATGGTCTTATAGAAATCGTATAAATTTTTTCCTTAAACTTAATAGGAACCCAATGACTGCACAACACTCTTGATGCACTCCTCCATTTCATCTATCCCACCCTAATTCTATGGTCACATCCTCCTTATTTTCTTTGTTTCTATATATTGAAGCTAATGTATTTCTCCTCCATTCAACAATCATTTTCTTAGAGTTCAAGAACTTGCTAAATAAATTAGTCACTCTCCCAAACACTTCCAAACTTCAACAGGATTCTAGTTGATCCTATCAATTTCCCCACCCTCATCTTCTTCATAGCCTCCTTTACTTCTACTACTGTAATCTTGCTAAAGAATTTACAATTAATTCTACTACAAGAGTTATTATGTTTTCCTAGACTCTAGGTTTCCAAGACATTTTCATTTAATATCTTTTCAAAATAACTCTCGCCTACCTTGTTCTTATCTCATATTCCTCTCCCTCACCTTCACCCTAATTTAGGCCTCTACATTTTCTTTCTATTTTTTTTTAAGAAAATTTATATATTTTTTGCATCCTAAAATCTAATAAAGATCATCATATACCCTCAACGTAACTTCCCTAATGGTTTTCTTAGCTTCGGTTTTAGCTACTTTATATCCTCAAAAGTTTTCATTATTCCCACATGTACACAAAGTTTTGTGACAATCTTTTTTTATTTTTATTTTTTTATAATTACTTTTTGAATCTTTTCAATCTACCACAAAATAAATTTGGTAGCCAACTTCCCTCAGAATTCTACAATAACGTAATGAATATGCCAAATTGATTTTGGTGCATCTCTTCCTCCACAATAACAAAACCCAAAAATTTGCTCTTCGTCACATCATATAATCCACATACCTTGCAATTCAAACTTACCGTCAAGCCAAGGCCTGCCCTCAAAATATAATTTCGTTCAGAGCTATATAAATATAAGATAATTTTGTATAGAAAGTAGCTTAAGATAATGAGCGTTTTAATCTCACTATGGATTCAGGTCATAGAAGCCTAGTGTTGTATGAACCACAATGACAGCATTTGTGATAGAGCCAATGGAATGAAGCAGGTCCTCTCTTCTCACAATCATTGCATAGTATTACCTGAAAATTGTCCCATAGTGAATGAAAATATGCCATCTTCTGACAATGCACACAATGAAAGATATTTAAGAATGACAAGAAAAGAAGATTATCAACCTGAGTCTGACCAGAATACTCATCAGGAATTTTCTCTTCTGCCAATAATGCATCTAACATACCAAAATACACCTGAAACATATCGTTTTAGCATTTAAAAATTGGCAACTCCCAAAGCACACACTGGGCGTGTTTGGAAAAGGCTTTTTTTGGTTTTTTGGGCTAAAATTCACAAAATGACAAAATAGGCTAAAATAGCCAATAAGATAACATGTCACATCAAACCCATAATCATTTCACTTTTTCTCTCACAAACATCACATACAACTACAAAAAAATCCAACTATCTTCCCAAATACAAAAATTTTAGTCTACTAAAATAACCAAAAACTAAGGCCTTGTTTGGCATATACTAAATAAGTTCATCTTTTTATCTTTTTTGGGTCAGATCAATCAACATCTCCTCTCTACTTTTCTACACATCTTTTTATAAAAAGTCAAAAAGTGCACTTATTTAGGACATCCCAAACCACCCTTAAAATAGCCTACTAAAATAGCAACTTCCCAAACACCCACACTATAGACTACTCAACTTGCTCAAGTAACTGAAGTAGGCAAACATGCAAATTAATTTTGGGGCATTTGGCCTGAGCATGATTTAACTAAGAATTGACAAAACTCATGTTTTTCCTTCCTTTTTATTTTTTATTTTTAATTGACACGCAGAATCAAGGAGGCAGAAATAGAGTGGTGACTGTGAAAATTATTTTGTAAAACCTTTTAGAATGATATCATTGAGAAGAGGAAAATAGAGCTTTGAGGGGGGTGATCTTTCGTGAAAGCGAAAATAGTTACTGGCAAGCTAGGATTTCAAATATCAACAAACAGGCAATATAGTTCAAATGAACATAAATGGATTTAGCTCGTCCTTAAATCAGCATCTTCTTTTGTTGAATATTGATGCCTTCTGAAAAGGGAAAATACAGAACGCAGTAGTAGATACATTGAGTATTCTGATGTAGTGGGGATATCAGAACAACAAACATGAGATCAATAGAAAGGAAAAGGTGAAGCAGGGAAAAACCAAGTGAAGAAACTGATGGATTTAAGCAAGTTATTTATGAAAACAGGGTGCCCTCTAGAAAGTCTGAACCCTCAATTCATTAAGCACGAATAGAAAGAAGTCAATTGAGAGCAGGGAAGAGCTAAAGTAGTGACCATATATTTTATTACCAGTTAATATGATTGGTCTCAATACACCAGATTACAAGGCAACTCTCCATATAACAATTTGTTCTCACTAGGGCACAAACTTCAAAAGCCATAAAAGGCTATTAAAACAATTAATACTTGTTTTTCATCAGGCTTAGAGCTACCACTGAATTGGTCTGTATGGTCCAACTCAGAATGTATCGATGACTTACTTGAGACCTGATTGGATTTGTGCACTCCAAAAAAGTCACAAATAAATTTCTCTCCAAAGCAATCCTAAAAGATTGGATCTGCGGCCTGTAGGGGAACAGTAATGAGGTCCCACCACAACACAACATACTTAATTGTTGGTGGACATATGCTGATTATGAATATCCAAAGAAGCCGTGCATTAAAAGATAATATGTTTTGAAGATTTCATCAAATTTAAGTTAATCTTGACAGATACTTAAAGAAAAGAGTAATAATTCCAATAGTTCATAGAAACATGTTTTACTTATTTCTCAAGTTCCAGAATTAAGTAGACCAATTAAACACCTATTGGCCCTATTAGTGCTGGAGTTTTAACACATGCAAAAATGTTTCAGCCTGTTCAGGCAACCCTGAGAAACTGTAACACATTGCACAATCGTGGGTAACAAATTAGATCTGCAGTGATGTATGCAAAAACATAGCATCCAATTTATATAGGTACTAACATGAATAGAAAAATAATGGTTAAGAAGAGAATATTGTGGAGAATATATTGTGACTGACCTGCATGTCCCCAAGTGACTTGCTACATATTGGGCAGGTGTAGTGAGTACAAGTGTAGTCCTAACAGAAGCATCAGAGAGCATCTGTAAATTACCCTCAACACTTCTATGGTCTTTAGGAAGAAAAGGGGAAAATCATACATGAACCAAATACCTGAAAGCATGCTGAGTGCATCAAATGTCCACATGGAAGGGCCTTAACTGGAGAGCTAGATGTGAAAATATATTCGTGGCATATCGGGCAGTTATCCTCAAAACACTTCTCTCTGCATATATGCACTGAAAGAGACCTTGACATGCAAGCATTGCAATTCATGCAGTGGAAATAGTCGATGCCCAGTCCTTTCCCAACTCGGCACAGGTTACAGTAAGGGCAGTGGTAGATATCCCTGTTCAACACACTCTATGTCAGAGATCTCTATAAAATGAGACATCCAATGATACCAAAAGCTAACGTAGGTCATTGCCATCTATTGAATATATATAACAAATGTTGGAAGTATTTAAGGCATTGTAGTACCACTGTGGTAGGAATACAAACAGAATCAAGATTGCCTTATTGTACACAACTGCTTGACTGTATGTGCCTCTTGGAGGATTTTCAGTAAATGTAGTTTGATCGGTAACCTACAGCTAAATATCAATACACTAAAAATTTGGAGGGAAGCAATTTAATGAACTTCAAATTTTCATACCAAAATCAATTTACTTAATAGAATTTTAAATATGTTCATAAGATGCACCCATGATAATTCATTAAGATTCTCTCGAAGAGTGACTGAGTGAAAAGAATATTGCTTAAACTAATGGCTTCCCCTTAACATTTTCACTTATAAGGGAGATGTGCTTTGGTAGGTCTACTCCCATATCTGTTAGGTGTTTTATCCTTTCTACCCTGCATCTTTAATCCTACAATATTTGTCGTCATCCTATCTTTCTGTACATTTTTCCTCAGCATAGGTTTCCATATATGCTAGATACGACCCATACTTGCACAAATGGTACAGTTCAACTCTTGTCTAAACACATGGTAAAATGCTGCATATATTTTCAAAATCAACACAAACAATTTAACTGTCAGTAGGCATCTTCCTCTGGAAGTGACAAAAGCTTTTGATTGAAGTGCTACGACAATGATCAGAATAATAAGCCTCCTTGGTTTCTATACTCTTGCATTCTTAGCGATTGACTTCATTTTTCTATCCCTTCTTCATCTCCACCTTTGCTTTGTCTAAAACAATATACACGAAGACATTCACGTACCATAAGCTTATTATCATGATCTACGTTATTGAAGAACATTAAACCTCAGGTTCATAGGCGAGGTTGTATGAAACTCATAGTAATTCAATAAAACTCTTGTAAAGCATTTATTCTTTTTCCCCTTTGAACATTCTTGGCAAACTCATTAACTAAGAAGAGCTAATGAAATAAGGGAGTCTCTCTAAAAGGTTGGGGTGTTACATTGCTAAAGGCACAGGTGCAAGGTGGTATCAGCTTGTAGCCTAGGAAAGAGGAAACAATAACCGTTCGAGCCCAAGATATACAAAACTTCAATTAAGACCTATGTATCCTCTAATGCAAATAGTGATGCCAAGCACCTTGAGCCTGTGGCGGAATGATGTCAAAGAAAATAGTTCAGCCTACATTGACAAGCTCATGTGATGGAGGATGTCAGATACTGTTACTTATTGGAATAAGATTGACAGTGTTTGATAATCGTTACTTCTCAAAATAAAAATCCTCTCATTACTAGTCTTCATTAATGTCATTAAAAGTTGTTCATATTAAGGATTATGGGATGTTTTGGTTTGGATTTGAATGGAAAATAGGCTTTACAAAGGGTCAACTGGGAAACGACGAACCCGTGTAGTGTACCCCCAGCTGATTGGTCTTTTTGCGTTGAACTTGTTAAGCTAATTTAGAAGTGACCATCTAATCGAGAGAGTTACGACTGTAATGTATCAGTGCCGCATCTATCAATCCCCCATCCCTTGGGGAACTTTCTCCCTCATTTTGTTTTCACGTCTCTTTAAAATGATATTGTTTCTCATGTAAAAGAAGTGTTTGTGTTTTACTAGAAGCAATGCCTTTTCCTATAAACAGAAAGGATTTTATTGGTTTCAAGACTCATGTTTTTAGTTATAAGATTAACTTCAATATCCTTCCTGTTGATATTTAGATTGACTTGGAGATTTCAGATAATAACTTTTATGACAAGAATTCAATCTCACTCTTTCTGGAATTTGTTTTTGGAGTATTTTTAACAAAATCTCACTTCTGACCATTCACTTTCAATTGTGGCAATTAACTCTTACATTTTAAGTCTAATTGTAATGTCATCCTTCTATCTATTTATCAGTAGGAGGCTGACAGAAATCAAGAGTGGAAAAACTAAAGTGTTGTTTTAATAAAAGTGCAAGGTACTAATGAAGTGAGAAAAATATCACGTATAGTTCACATGACAAGTTTCATCAGCATTATTAACATTAGATGAACAGAAGTGTGACCAGGGGCGGAGCCAAAGAAGTCCCAGGGGGGTCACGTGCTCCTCCCTTAGTTTTGAATTTTTTTGGTTCTAGGAAGTCTTGGATTCAAGTCTCATGGCATGTATTTATTCCCCCCCATTATGTTTCTGCACTCTGTTTTGTATGTTCATCTGGTTACTTCTCTACATGTGATACGAGGTTGTACATGAGGAGTGTTAGATAGCTTGTGACACATTGTTGAACCAATTTCCTAATAGCTTAAGCTTTTGGGACGATCAGTGACTTAACAAGATTGACAAGACATTTTGTCCATTTTAGAATAAAAGAAAGTGATGTCAGTCAAATAGTACTAGCAAAATATGCTCAGGCATTTCTTTTAGAAAATCATGGCAATTAAATTCAAACTTCTCTCCAGGAAGATAGATATTCTTAAAACTAATGATAAAGGAGAACAATAAAATTATCTGAAGGTCAAAAACTGGCAATTTCCAATATAAAAAGAAAAAAAAAAGTAGGTCAATCTGGGACATCACCTTTCGTCATCAAACAACTTGCAGATCCTGCAGTAGTATTTTGCCATGGATAAATTATTACAAGAAACAGTTGTGCATGTGGGACTTATTGGCTGAATCGTCAAGCATTTCATACACATCATCTTAGCAGTAGCTTTCCTGCATGCATATTTTAAAGCAGCAGAAAAATGTTAAGAACAAGAACTGAAAACTTCAAAACACACAAGTGTAGAAGTGGAAACCTAAACATGCTGTATATACCTATCCATCGAGTGATCAGCCACATCATCATGGCACCGTCGACATGTATAAAGCTGGTTGCAACAAGCGGCAACTAGCTTACAGTTCCTCTTGTAGTGTTTACAACCAAAAGTTAGTTTGAGTGGGTCCCGATAAGATGGACACTGACCTGGAACTTCTTCCTTGCCACTTGAGACAGGACCCTCTGAATGAGATTTCTGTTGCGTAATAATCCAGCGGCTGAAACACCAGAAAAGCTTTAGTCAGAATCAATATATAAATTTCACATACGTATATGCATTGCACAAAGAAGAAAAGGAAATTAAGGTCCATGCATAACAATGTCTATTAGCATCACAGATTCAACGGTGATGTATAGGAAGTAGGGATATATATTCACTAAATTTTGAAATCTTTGGTCAATTAAGTCACCTAAGTAGTTTTTTTTTTTAAAAATTGTCATCTTGTATTGCGTTTTGTTTGAGAGGATCATGAAGATTATAATATTTTGCAAGGGAAATTTTCTAGGTACCAAAGCACTTATGCACATGTTAAAAGGATGTCAACCTGTCATGCTGTTAATAGATCCATCCAATACTATTCTTTACACGGAACTCAAAATTTCCTCTTACGAAAGGAAATAGAAATAAAGACAAAGCATTTATGATTAACCTCATTAGAAGGTTCTGGATAATGTGTGATTTCTTTTGAGGGTCCAAAGTTGAGTCGCGAGATATTCTTCTAACTGTAGTCTCCAGTTCTTCTTGACTCATTATAGGAAGGTGCTCTTGATGTTGGAAGTCCTGACTGACCTGTACGTGTTGGCTAGGTTTATCATCTAGGATCGTGACATCTGCTAATTCCTTGCATTTCTTCTTGTTAACATCACTAGCAAATTCAGAAAAATCTGAACATTTGCGATTATTAAGGTTTCCACTGGAGATCTTTCCTTTATCATCCATATTGAGATTTCCAAACAGATCAATATCAGAACCAGAAGAATTGTTTTGTAGAAATTTAGCACCTTTTCCATGTAGTGTTAGATTTTGATCATCAAGGCCTTTGTTTGACAGATATGTAGAGAGAATTTTCAGTGGGTCCGCAGGCCAAGAAGGAGAAAGATTTGAGTCATCTTCCACCTTAGCTATATCGCACCTCTTCATACCTTCCCACCATTCTCCTAACCATTCATCAAACATTGTATTCTTGGCAGCCTTGCGCCATAAGGACATCATGGCCTGTTGCTCTTCTGGTGTCAAAGATGCCATGAGCCACGGTATCATCTCTTGTAGCATTTCAGCTCTTGTTCTTCCAAGCATGCATCCTATGATATTTTCTTGCTCTTGGATGGAGAAGCATTCTCTAAATAAGGGCCAAAGTTCAGTTTCTTCACGGTGGACATGGTCGCACAGTACTTTATGCATAGATTTGCACATGTCATGGAGCTTTAAACATAGCTGACGGTAGTTTAGCATTCTCTGATCCAGTACATCCATGTCAATACTACAAACTGAAACATGCAACCTTTTAATCTCATCTAGGATGAGGGAAATCTTACTGAACAGTTCATCTTCCAGTTCATGATCAATGGTATAGGATTGGCTAATGTTTGTGGCCTTTCCCTTTGCCTCCAGAGCTGGAAAAGCAATCTCGTCCTCTGAATCACTATGAATTTGATATAGAAATCGTACAAGTTGGAAGCGCCTACAGAAATCCATGAGGTCCCCGGCATTTTCGCCCAACTTAGCTGAAACATTGACAAGGTACTCCAAATCTTTCTTGAGAGCTTTGTGGAAGAAAAAGATGTGATCCACTGGTCTGGGTTCAAGATTGAAAATGGAACTAGCACCGCTACTCACAGCAGGAAATTTTGGAAAAGGTGATAACATCTTTAATGTTCGAGGAGAGAATATATGTAAATTAATCCTACTAGAATATGATGTTGCAGAACTACTCAGAATGAAATCTTTAGAGCTGTTGCAAGGTTTTATATGCAAAGGTAAGGAAAAAATTGCATAATCCTCCTTGACATGCTTGGTCAGAAAAGAGCTTCTGGTCTTGAACATCTCTTGCAAGTCTTTTCTGAATTTATCGACAGAGGTTTTACCTGAGTAACCCATGCGTACCCACTCATACAAGAGAAATGCTAAAGTGCTATTGTTAGCTAGAGGACCTCCCTGCTTTAAGCAATTCAGAATGGAGTCGCATTCATCCTCAGATAAATGAGCAGAGAACCAAGTAATCATACACTTCAGCAGCCCAAGTGGCATAATACGAAGGCTTGTGTATAGTAGCCACTGCTGAAATTGATGAGTGCAGTTCTTGCTAATGAAGGGGAAAATCTGATAGAAACCGGAAAATGTCAGATTACAACAATAAAGGTTAACTTGTATAGAAACAACAAGAGTTACTGAGGGTGTTGTGACAAATTTTTATAGGTTGCAAGTGGAAGTGAAACTAGCATCAAATTATTGATGGATTTGAATTACTATTGATTGCTTAAAAGTATTCTTAAGATTCAAGTTTGGAATGCTAATTTTCCCCTTCAACTTTTTCTTCTCAACCCCTTGCATTTACAGAACTCTGTAAAGAACAGTGTACCTCTGATTCTAGCAAAGCTAAGTGTTTGCTTATTCCCATCACAAATAACTCCAACTCCCCACAAAGCTTCTCTACAAAGTTGAACAAAGGCAACCTGTTTTGATCCTTATGGTACAGCAATCTCTGTAAACCTTCAATTTGACTTTCGTCTTGGAATCTTTCTTGGAGATGAGATAGGTATCCATTGGCAAGTTCATTCAATACAGGGTTAAAGATTTTCTCCAATGCAGTGCTGCAAAATGGAAGCATTCCTTCAGGAAAAAATAAATAAATAGAAAGACTCACAGAAAGTAATAAAAATTAGTGAACATCTTCTGCTTGACACCTCAATCAAGCAACCATGGAAACTACCTGTAGAAGATAATGACATCTGCAAAAAATTTTAGCCGGGCAATTACTGGACCTAAAGTTGAAAATTCTTTTGTGCTTCTGATTTGATACAGGTCCTTCAAAATGTCTTTGAAATCTTTTCTGATGGCACCATGCCAAAGATGAAGACCATCAATGGGAGTACGTCTAAGAGTTGTCTTGCTAGATGCTGTCTTCCACCTCCATTTTTCTCCATAAAAGCTCTTAGATGCATTAGCTTTAAGTATAGCCTTTGAACTTGCTAGCATATCAGGTATCACGGCTCCTTTTCCAATTTCAGTGTTGGCCGCAGATGAAGATGGATTCGTGTTATGAAGCCAGGAAATTACCACCTTCAATGTAGAGTGGAACTCATTTCAATCAAATATTAATCTGAAATACAGCATTAAACCAGGTTAGGGTCTACCTCTTGCAGCAGTTTTTCCTTAGGTACAACTTCCTTGATACAATGCAAAAAGTCCTCTTGTTCATCTGGGGAAAGGAAAGAAGTCAACCATGGCAAAAAATCCTCCAATAGCATTATTGGAACGCTACACAAAAACTGCCAAATAAGTGAAGCCTGTTCTTTGGAAGAGAATTGTTGCATCAGCAAAGGGAAAACCTGCACAAGAATGTATACTGTTGAAATATACACCAGAACCAAAAGGCAGCATATAAGAATTTGATCTCTGGTTTGATTTCCCCGATATATCTTTCTGGTTCTCATATTAGATATTAACAAAATATTTCAATAATTCAAAATTTCTTTTAAAATCATGTGACAAATCATATTATAATCAATTGTAACCTTGTCCAACTCAAACCAACTAACAATGTAGCTGCTCTACTCATACAATCACAAGTAATGGAGCCTCGGATATTCAGATCTATTTTCAATGAGAAATGGTGTATGTCATCAATTTTTCTTCACCGTTTTATATCACCGCCTCCGTATTCACTCATGCTAAAGAACTAATTAAGGAAAATAATATCTTACCACGTACCCTCATGATATAAAATGGTAAAAATACACAGGCGGTATCTAACAGTCCTCATTTTCAATTGAGTTCGGGGCAACAAACCAGCTTAATAGTGTAGTGCACTCAGCAGTCTACAGAAGCTTTTTTGAAAATGATTGGTCTTCCCACCCTACCTCTTTTCTTTTCTTTTCTTCTTCTTTTTTTTTTTTTTGTTCATAACAATTCTTGGCCAAAATTTTGCGTCTAAAAGCCAGTTCATTAAATAATGTTTTGCTCTATATCTATCCTTCACCTGCTAACCAAGTAAAAGAGTAAAGACATTGACCACAAGATTGTAAGTTCTTTTTTTTTTTTTTTAATTCACCTCAGCTCTTCATACTCCATGATAAAGGCCCTTCTACCTCTCCTCAGCATGATAAAACCTTCAAACATAAACATCTCCAATCCAATTTTTAAAAAAGGGTTCTAGAGAATCCAGTTGAGTGCTACTTTGAGTTGCTCTATGTGGTTTATTTAGGGAAGAGAAATACAAAAAGTGATTTTCAAGAAAAAAATTTCCTATTATCAAAAGAGGTTACCCTAGATCCAAAAGTAAATGGAAATGTTCTTCCTGAGTGTTGTGGTAACATAGAACTACTATCTACTAAATAAAAGTGGAAGTTTCGGAAGAACCTGCAAACCACATGTTCAAAAGCATGTTCTGAGACTGAGTGGTGAGAAGGATGACCAGTAATACAATAATGGAACAAATATGAAAGGAATGCAATTGCAGATAAGTTAGAACTTAGTGGTGGCACCAATTTAAACGAGAGCAAGCTAAGAGCTTTTGCCATTCAATATAGACAAATTAAAATAAAAAGGACAAAAGCAAAACCAAAAAGAACAGAGATAAATATGTAAAAAGGACATGATTGTCTTAGATGGTTACCAAGATGTGGTTTTATGCAGACCTAGACTAGGTCATTGAGAAGAAAAATCTATGTAGTCACCCACAAGTAATTAAGATTAAGGTTAATTGGGTAGAATTGAGTTGAGTAAATGATGGAGCACATTTAGACAGAATGGATATGGTAGTTTCCAGTGGCTTTCAATCGAACGAGTTTGGAGATCCATATTCCTCTAGCAAAGCACACTCATCATCTACCCAATATTTCCATGCACTTCATGAAGATGTTGCCCTCGATGTGATAGGTTTTCAAAATGAATTTTGAATGATTATTCAGTAGGTAGCTCCAACACCTCTCACTTGAACGTACCATTAGTGACAAAAACAAGTTAAAATTTATTAACAACGCACTGCACATCATGTCCTTCTCCACACAACAGTACAAGGAACAAGACTCAAGTTAATAAAAAGTTACACAATTCCAAAAAGTGCGAGATAGTAACTCCAAATGAGCAACACCTTAGAATGAAAAAGAAGGTAGGTACCTGTTTTTCCTCTTTCAGCATATGCTGGCAAATGGCAGTCTGGATGGTGCCAATACAAAATACAAGTTCTTGAAATTGCTTTGAAGTACTTTCCTCTTTCTCCATTAAAACATTTAAGCAATCAGAAATAGAGTCGAATAGGTCATCTATGCTTTGATGCTCAAGTGTATATGTACAGCTCACATTTTTTATGTGGAAATCAAGTGCCAGAAAGATAATCTGCCAAAATAATGAGATCAAACTCTGAACCATAAATATGTACGGATTCAAATAACCTTCGTCTTATAAAAGATAGAGGATAAATTAAGTTTCTTCTTGCTAAAACTTATTTATGTAGTGGTGCAGTATATGTTGTAGTTCAGTATTTTCTTCCCCTTTCCCATTTTATGTTGTGATTTTATCCGTATCGATTCTATTATAGTTTCATGTATTTTCTACTTTGAAGAGAAAACATTTTCATTACCTTTTTTCATTTGGCATCTTTCAAGTACAAAAATAATTTCCTTATATATCTTTGCTTTTATATATTTTACTTTTTATCTCAAATAAGCCTTCTAAATTTATTAAAAAGAATCACAAAGGTGTCTTGAGACATGCCCAGACACAAGACACGCGTGTCTATGAAATGTCCCTAATGTATCCCAAAAAAATGATAATTAAAAAATTAACAACACAGTGTTGGACATGGCACCCATTTTGGATTGTTTGTGCTCCCTTACACAAGGATACTTGTATAAAAATATCTAAGTATATGATATACAAGCTTTCTAAGTTATCTCTATTTTCCTTCCCAATCCTACTCCAGGGATCGGTTACTTAGGCTTGATTGAGCATGTCCTCTACCTAAACATGTCCGTGCTTGTTTATCTATGTTAGAATTTCTCATCTTTACCTTCACCTACTCCACTTCACCACACAATCCACTTCACCTAACCCACTACCACCTCCACTACACCTACTACCACATTTTCTTCTATATATAGATTGTATAGGAATTGTAAACAAATCCATCAATAAATCAATAATACATGATTTTTAACATGGTATCAGAGCAGGTTTAGAACCTAATATTTTCGTTTCACCGGCGGGCGGCAACCTCACCTTAAGCCGTCCGCCGGATCTCAACCTAGTCCGTTTATTTTCTACGCTCACCTTGCCAATCAAGTCCTCCTAGCCCACCGCTGTTCTCTCTGTTCTGCATACCCGATAAATCAACCTGCGCAGTCTGATCCAGACACCCAGCCGTGATCTGCTACATCTTCAATTCATTAGGTACCGTTCTTCCCTAATTTTAGAGCCACTGAAATTTGCTAGTCAAATCACCATGGCCATGGCCGTGGAAACCATGAAGTCCAGGTTTAAGCCCAGAGACGCTTCCGGTAACTGTAGTTGGACCATCTCCTTCTTGAGTGAAGTGTACGGTGCCACTGACACCTTCACTGCTGTTCAGAACAACGACGATGGCGAAGAAGCGGGGGAAGGAGAGATCGTGTCGGAGTCGAAGTCCGGCAAGGCCGTAGTCGATGAAGAACAACAACACCCACTGGAACACTCGTGGACGTTCTGGTTCAACAATCCCTCCGCCAAGTCCAAGCAAGCCACTTGGGGCAGTTCCATTCGCCCCATCTACACTTTCTCTACCGTCGAACAGTTCTGGAGCCTCTACAATAACGTACCCCATCCAAGCAAATTGGCTGTGGGAGCCTCTACAATAATGTATGAGCTGCACATTATCTGGAGGACCAAGTAGATGCGAGACATCCAAGGATCCAGCCCATGGCCACATGCATGCGAGACATCATTATCTTCCCATCCACCGCCCAAACCATTTTATATATATATATATATATATAATCTATGCCCCACTCACATGCCCAAACCTTTTTCTCTATAAATATATATATAATCTGTGCCCCACTCACATATATTATTTTTTTTTTTTTGTCCACTCACTCTGTGCCCCAACTCCAACTCGAATTTTGTCCAAAGCATCGCAGCCACCAATAGTATATATATATAATCTATGCTTTCTTTATTTTATATATATATATATATAAAGCTGTAATTATCACACGGTGATACTTTTAAAAAATGATTACAATTTCATGTTAAAAATTATAATTTTAATAATTAACAGGGTAAAATCTATTTTACCTTATTGTAGTATTGTCTTGGAGTATTTAACCTCCCTTACATTTGAAAATAGCTAAAACCTCTCTTACATTTTAGACTAAACAGTAATACTAACGTTGTTAATAATAAATGTAAAATGATGTTAATGCCCATTTACCTTCTTTATTTTCATTCTCTCTGCTATTACAATTCCGGTTTTGACCCGTTATCTATTGTATTCTAGATTCGAGTTGGTATGATTTAGAATAGTTATTCATATCTTGCTTCCCTTATTTCTCCTATATTTTGGTTATTGGGTTGTAGTTGTACGTTCGAAACAGGTTGGTTGCGTGTTTTTTTCAAACCTTTGTTGTCCAGATTTTGGTTGCTCTGTTCCAGCGAGAATTCTTGCGCTCGAGCGGGCTTCACAAATTTTGCTCCTCCGCTCGAGAGGCCATTCTTGCACTCGAGTGGGAGTCATCAACTTTAATTATTTTTGCAGTTCTGTAAATACTAAGAGAGTGCATTGGACACTCGAGCATCCATTTTCACGCTCGAGCAGGGTCCTTTATCTGCAAAACTTTTGGAAATGTGTATTCTACGCTCGAGTTTCGCTTCTTGCACTCGAGCGGACGTTTGTGTTTGACACTCGAGCATCACTTTCCACGCTCGAGCGGACTGCGTGTATATCAGTACGTAAAGATAACATTTTGAATCACTTTTTTTTCTCTCTCTCTCTCTAAAACTTTCCAAAAACCTAGATCTATACATTCTCTCTCTAAAACTCACATTCTCTCTAAGATTTCATCTAGATCCGTT